AGGGACACCCCCATCCAGTGCATGAATTTTCATACACGGGGCCTCTAGTTTACTCATAACCAACAATCCTTCATCAGGTGCCACACCCGCTACAAAGAGCTTGGTAGTCACCCAGGGGCTGATTTCATCCCGGAGACTACACAGTTTCACCCCAGAGAACTATATAAAGTCACCTCGGAGACTTTCTGCCTGAATCAGAATGTCCAGGTGCCATCCTTCAATACTCTAGTTTATTTACTCCTGGAAAAGATGCTGAATTCTTTGGTTACCACGAGGCCTTCGTGCTTCCGGGGGTGAAGAGCTAAGGCTACACCAAAAGTGTGGCTCCGATTATTGAGAAAGCTCCACCGGTCCTCAGCCTAGCACACTGGGTTTTTAGTTCTGATTTTTTTCACTAAACCAGGCCTTGAGTGCTGAGCAGCAGCAACAACCAGAAGCATTGTAGATCTTTGCTAATGTATCACTCAGCATTTTTTCTTTATTACATGCCCTACCAAAACCAAATATAGTTACAATCAGTTCTTTATTTTATATAAGAAAATAAAAAGGTAATTATAATTATGCAGGGCAAATATTTGTTTATTAATGTTTTCTGTCTGCAAAGAGAATCTGAGTATATAGCTAGATATAATTTCTATAGTAAAGACCAAAACCCAAAAACAAAAAGAACAAGACCCAGAGACAGAAATTTATAGCATTAATTATTTTTTTGTTCAAGAATGAAAGTTCCTGGTAATAGATAGGCTATATTAATCAAATACACAGAAAATAAAAATCCTAAGATAGATGGTGCTATTGTAGTAGGCCAGTTAAGAGCCCTCTAGAGCAAAGACCGGGAAAAATTAAGAGAATCATTTTCTTTTAAGACTCTCGTGTGAAAGTGAGGGATGAGACAACACAAAGAGTACAGATTCTGAAATATAAAAGATCTAATAAACCATGCTCATCATCACCTCAGTTACTTTTTTCTCTTTCCATTTTCGAAGGTCCTCTGTTGGCCATTTATTTGCTCAAATGGCTTTTACTCGATGCTTCTCTAAGCACCAGACCTTAGAAGTGGCATGAGAAGACCCTCCTTCCTGAAGAGTAGAGGAATTTCAAAGCTTTGAAAATAAAGATTCTTTCTACAGCAGCGGGACTTCATGAAGAGCAGTGACCCTCAATGAAATGAAGCAAAGACTCACCCTTCTCAGACCCTCACTTTATGCTATCTATGCCTTAACCTGTCCTCGAATTCAAAGCGTTGGTTGTACTTTCCATAAAATAACGTCACTATGATTGTGTGTGATGCTAAAAGATAGACCATCACTTTTCCCAGGTTACATAAAGGTGAAGGCATTTTTCTACAGCGAGAAAGCACACTGCTAGTAGCCACCAGTGTTTTATAATCGGAGTGAGAATGCCATTAAGGTTCTAAGGCAGCATCCTAAGAGGTCCCTCTTGTTTGCGATTGGCAGACTATCGGCTATTTCAATACAAGCAACAAACTGCAATAAACATATTTAATTACCTCCATCCTGTCTCTATGCAACTCTTCTTACTCCCAGAAGCCTACTCCATCCTCTCAGGGGGAGGAGATAAGCAGATGGATGTGAGCAGTTGCACAGAACTTTGTGCAGCCACCAGCCCTGAGAGCAATTGGTCAACACCCTTGAAGCCAGTTAAACCCTCAGTAAATGGTTTCCAACTCCAACAGATGGGCTGTTGGTCCCAGTTGTGCTATTCAACATCTATATGACTCCATATAAGAAACTAAAATCTGGGAGTTGGAGGATTGCTTCTCTCTAATATATTCTATTTAATATTTTATGATTTTACTCCATAACTAGTATCTTCTCTTCATAATGGAAAGCTTGGCCTGGGTCTATTTTCTCCACTGGTAGAATGCCACAAAGGGAAGACAGTCGTCCGGTTAACGCTCACCAAGGATTTGAATATGTTTTCCTTTTACAACCAAGGAAGCAGATGGTTAAAATGAAGTCGTTACAATCATATAGGGACAAGTCATACTCCTACCCTACAAAGTGAGGCACTTATTACTACAATTCAGTTTTAATATTTATGTTCTTGGAGGGCAACAAAATTACAACTACAAAAGTCTTATTTAAATGAAACATTTCTGATTTCTAAACATATTTTTAAACTACTTTTACTAGTTCTGACACTTTTCTGAACATTAAAAAGGTCAACACCACATGAATTATTATGGAACTTTCTTGCAAGAATATTTTTCATTTCCCCTTTATTACATTTAGAATCCCTCAAATTTTTATTTTCCATTCTCTTGCCCTTCCTCTCTATTTCTGCCACCCCCACCATCTTCTCTAACTGTAAATGCTATTTCAGAGCCCATCTTTTTAAAAGTTGATGTGCTGCATATCTGGGTTGTTTTTTTTCTTTAAGGGTCCTCATCTTTATTTGGTTTTATGACATCCATCTTCCATGGAGATAAGTGCTCACTCAAATATTAAATGCACAAAATCATGCAGCATCACTGTGCACGCCTGTTCTTAAAATTCCTTACACTTTTACTGTTGTAGTCTCTACTCAGGGATTGGAATTTGGCTTTTATGACTCCAAGGAGAAAGCAAATTGCCCCTATGGCAGGAACATATATACCTACACTATTTGGTGCTACAAGAGTGTGTTCCTAATCCAGAGTTAGAGCCCTGAAAGAGGAAACAGTCATTGGAAAGGGTGTGAGGAACAGAATCAAGGAAACTGATTCTGAATCACAATGAATCTCCTGTGGACATTCCCAGGTTCCAGCCCTTCTTCCCAGTAGCCAGGTTATTTTGGCTTTTATGTTAAGATGGGAGTGGTCCCACCTGTCTGGCTATAGGCATTTTCCCCTTTCCTGGACATCGGATGAAAATCAGAAAGCTCTGACGCCATCCTGAAAGCCAACTTTCTAGATATCCACTTGAAAAGCATTCACATGATACCAAACCACCAAGTGTTTCTCTTTTATCCTTGGTAATCAAATGAAGTTTGTTTTGGCTTGAATGTTTTTAATTGTATAAACAAATATGGGGTAAGGCAAGTGAGGTATACCACGGAATGAGCCTAAAATGAAACTAACAGTGAACTTTCTCTTTGCTTGCCCATAAGAAGGTATTTAATAGCTAGTGTTCTGGGTTGAATTGTGTCCTCACAATTCAAGTTTTGAAGTCCTAACCCCAAGTACCTCAGACTGTGACCTTGTTTGGAGACAGGTTCTTTATAGAGGCAATCAAGCTACAATGAGGTCGTTAGGGTGGGCCCTAATCTAATATGATTGGTGTCCTTACAAGAAAGGGAAATTTAGACACAGGCAGCTACAGAGAGAATGCCATGTGAAAGGGGAGACAGTGATCTACAAGCCAAAAGAAGAGGTCTGAAACAGATCCTTCCTTCACAGCCCTCAGAAGGAGTCACCACCCCCTTGATTTTGAATGTCTTGCCTCCAGAACTCTGAGAAAATAGATTTCTATTGTTTAAGCCATCCAGTTTGTGATACCTCATCACAGCAGCCCTACCAAACGAATACAACTACCTACTTTATTCTTTCCCTGGAAATTAAACTGTCAATTTTTATAAATTTCAACTGTACATTACTGTTGAAGAAACATATATCTATTCCACTTCATATTTGATCTCTTAACTTTAGAAAAAAAAATCTATGCTGCTCTTTAATTATAATGTCCTGGATTTCATGATAAAATCTGTGATAGCCACAGGAGATGTTGAGAAACCTAGAAAACAACATTTCACAGCTGAATAAACAGAAGTCATCCAGTTAGTTACCAGTAAGGATAGTCACCTGGCTCCCAGTCTCCATGATTTTTCTACAGTAGCACACAGCCACCTTGGGTATTAACCAAGAACTGCAGGTCATTAAAATGTCATGTGAGGAATGTTTGAAGTCAGGATAGTATAAGAATAAGCAGAAACTCAGATCACAAAGAGTTTACCCCACTGAAACAGTTTTCTACAATTTCTGGCACATATTCTTAATCAGACTATTAATAATTTCACTGTTACATGGAAGAAACACTTTTATACCATTTTGAGATAAGCACAGCAAATGGAAAAACTGCATATCTCAGTTAGTCCATGGAAAGATTAAGATTTTCATTTCAAATCTGCATATTTAAGCACAGAAAAATGTTTAGAAGACCACTTATGTAATTTGGTGATTCTCAATGGTTTTCACAAGTCATACTGAATCTCTGAGGCCGTTTTAAAAAAATATTACTTTAACTCAAGTTGTTACTTATTACAAAGCTAGTTATTTACAGATAGGCCTTTTCTGTTTTTGTTCTTTTTCAATTATTTCCTTTGATGTTGAGTTTTTTGAGAAGATTTGGGGATACATGGTAGGAATCTTGAAATAGCTGATGTGGAAGAGAAAACTGACTCTTCTACCAATTAAATAGATTTCAACTCAAAGGAAACCTTTAAAAAGCGGTATGCTGTGATAGAATTAGCAGCTGCAGATCTTTTAAGGGTTACTGCTGATGTTCTAAGCATTAGACCATTTGGAGACGGTTATAAAGAGGATTCAAGCAATGATTAGATCAGATAGATTAGATTGTATTATATTAGATTAAATGGACTGTATGGCAATTTTCATCCTAAAGGTGCATGGTTCTATGAACTCAGTAGTAATATTATAGAACCAGTTCATTCCCCTCTGCTAATACAAGGCTTATTCCTTCATATGCTTGACATCCTTTGTGTTTGGAATAGCAATGTAATTTATTTAATTAACATATATTTAGATGACATAGGCTAGAACATTAGTCACAGCTCATATAGATCAAGTAAGTGGAAGGGCTGAAGTCAAATTTTCATTTATTAGTACAAACTCATCTATCTGTTATTATATTGGGTGAGGGCAACAAACTGTCTTATAATCATGAAAAAATAAAAATATTTTAACAATCATATTAGTCCTTGGAATTCTTTTCTAAAGAGCTAAAAATAATTAGCACAGCATGAAATAACTGAATACTAACCTCCTTCATTTTTTCCAGTTCATTCTGTAAAGCTTGCTTTGCAATCTCAACTTCTATAAGCTGTTGCCTCAGTTTCTCATTTTCATCTTCTGTTGTCGTTCTCTTTTCTTCCACATTTTCCAATTCATGGTGAAGTCTCACAGATACATCCTTTGCAACCTAAATTAAAGTGTGTGTAACAACAAAATATAATTAAAGACAACAAAATATGTGGGATAAAATTATATTCATATTAAAAGTAGTAAGAGCCAATACTTATATGCCACATGCAGGCATTATTCCAGATGCTTTACATATAAGCCGTTCACATACAACAATCCCATGAATAGGTATGATTATCATTCCTGTTTTATAGATGGAGAACTCTAAGTCTTGGATATGTGAAGTAATATGCTCAAGGTCATATAGCTAACGAGTGAGCAGGCAGTCTGGCTCTCCACTCTGTTCCCTTAACCTCTACACTACATTGTAGTAATAAATGTTCAATTGTATCTATCATGTGTAGGCAGTTTGGCCTCCTGTTCTAAAATTATCCTGGAAATTTTAGGGTTTGGAAAAGTGGAGCAGTCTTGTGTGGTGGCTCAGGAGTGGGCTGTGTTTGAGATGGAGTGAGGAGCCAGCCTGGCTAGCTACTAGGCTGACTTGCAGGGCTAGATGGAGGCTAGGCATCCAACCTGAGAAAAAGGTTCAGGGTAAGTACCTGTTAAATGATGTTATTAATAATCCCTACTTTATAGTTTTTTTCTTGAGAAATATATGAGATAATAATATAGGGTGTCCCAAAAATGTATACACACTTTGAATAATTATAAAGGCAGTATTTATTAAAATACATTTCATTTTCAAAATTGAGCTATCCGCTGTTAAAGTGTGTATACATTTTTGGCAGACACACTGTATATGTAACAATGCTTGCCACGGTGCCCAGTGCATAGTTAGTACCCAACAAAGGTTAAAATAAAAAGAAGAAGAAGAAATAATACACTTTCATAAAATTTTTTTTGAAAGCAAATGTAGGATAATTACATTTGATTTTCCTATCTTGAAGTTAATATAATTAAAATTATATTTTTGGTTATTCAAGGCCATGCAGATAACAACTGACTTACAGTCAAACCGAACTAAACAGACCACACCTGCCTAAAAACGCATTTCCAAGATGAAATTTCTCCTCTGGGGGAGATTCTGAAGAAGCGACTTCCCATTAAAAAGAATGTGAAATGTTTCTTTTACTTACTTCACTCTCCCTTTACTTCCAAAAGGGGTCTTAAGTTGGACAGTTTTCTTTTGGGGGAGTTATGGAAGTGGTAAGTACTGCAAAGAAGGACTCCTGGAAGATAGGGGTGGGGTCTGGCAGGGAGAAATCTCAAACTCTTCCCAGTGCTGTTCCTATTCAGGGCTTCAACTACTCTGCTCTTGAGCGCCTGCTTCCACCGGGCCTGCACTGGCAGGCCCGATTCTGGAGGGGAAAACAAGGCCAGAGCCTGCGCTCTGCCACACCCTGCTTTCCGCCAGGAAGGGGGGCGCCCTCTTCCCACCGCCTCTATTAGAGCCACGTCACTCCCAGGAGAGCCCACAGAGCTCGCTCTCTATCAGGCCTGACACACTGGGCTCTTCCCATCCCCCTGTCTGTTCTTCCCTTCTCCTTCCGGCACTGATACTTTGTGGCCAGAACTGCGAACCTCCGTGTCCTCAAAGCCCTTTGCCAGCCATCACTGAAGGCCTTCCGGAGGTCCCACCCGCCCTGGGCCCTGGCCCCCACCCGCCGCCCCTGCCGCGCGCCCCGAGTCCCCGCGCCGCAGACCTTGAGGTCCTGCTCCAGGCTGCGCAGCAGCTCCCCGTCGATCTCGCCGGTCTGCGCGTAGCGGAGCCTCTTGCGCTCGGCTTTGCGGAGGCGGTACTGCAGGATCCGGCAGTTCTTGTTGGCTCTCTCCAACTCGTGGCGCATTTCCTGCAGCTGACAGGCATCCTCCTCGAAGAAGCTGTCCCTCATTTCGTCCATCTCGGTCCTCAGCTCGTCGATCTCGTTCTGGCGTGACAGGCCGCGGGTCAAAATCCCCCTCGCCCCCCACCCCTCTGACACACACCGTGTACACCCCATCCCAATTCCAAATCCTCAGCGTTACTGCCCCCTCTCCAGCAGACAGGAATGACAGGGAAACTTCGCCAAACGGGCCCTCTTTAGGCCTCCTCGCGCGTTCCTACTCCACCGAGCCCTCTCCATGAAAATGTGGGCAAACCATGGTAATTAGGGAAACGAAGGTCCAGATTTGGATTTACAGGAAAACCTAACGCTACCAATCTCCGGCGGTTTAAAAACCGGAAAAGGCCAGGGCACCCCCTCCCCTCGTTTCCTGTGCCCCTCCCTCCTTAAGGCTCCCGAACAGGTTAGCAGCCTCTCACCCTCGCCGGACACGCCCTAATCCTCCGGGGCCCACACCTCCCCTCCCCCAGCCGCCTACCCCCACCCTCCTCACCTTGAGAGTCTCGTTTTCCTCTCGAAGCTTCTCCATCTCCTCCTGCATTTCTTCCTGCTCCTGGCGCTGCTGCGGGTGCGGGTGCGGGTGCGGCTGCGAGGGAGGGGGCGCCGCCGCCTGCATGCCGCCGCCGCTCGCGCTGCCCTCCGCGCTCTGCTGGGGACCCTCGGCTGCCGCGGCCATTGGGAAGGAGGCAGGGACTGCAGGAGATTCGCCTCACTCGCAGGGGCGCCGGAGACCGGGGAGTTTCGGGGGCTGCCAC